ACCTTGCAGCCCAAAGTTTTACCAATCTATAATAAATATTGATGCTAAGAACCTAAAGTATCATTTGGAACTAGGGTTATAAAAATACAGGCTACTTAAAACTAAACAAATCCAAGTTCAGTTAAAGTAAACATCATTTTCACATATCACCTGAACTCAAACTCCAAACACTGGAAAGTGCTGCTTCTGGCTGAAGTTATTTACAAAAAAAAAAGGGTGGACACTGAATTTTAGCAGTTTATTTATAGGAGTCTCTTCTATATATAAATATGCATTGTCTTTACATTCAGCGATTAAAGTATTTTCAGCAAATGGTAAAATATTGAGATTTACATAATAAATTATGGTCTCAACTGACGTGTGATCGTGGACATTTATAGTTGGATATGATCTTGATGAAGAGGTATCGGACAGCTTCTCAGCGAAAGGATGCATGTCTCATACCTTCTTAAAGAGGACATACTTCTTCAGTATCAAAGGATATCCTGAGTAAAAGCATCTTCAGTCATGACGCAAACCTCACAAAACTAGTAGTTCCACATCAAAAATGATCTACGATGTTCCTTCATTGTCTCTGTACATGTAGTATCAATGACGAACAGAGGTGTGCATTTGTATAGTAAAAAGAAAAATAAAAGTGCATGTTCACACATCCAAATCTGTGCTTATGTCAGGTAGCCCACCCGCCTAAGCAACATCCTCAGAGAAAAATGTTTCTTACAGTAATCATAACCAATGTCAAAAGTGCCTTTTAAAAAAAAAAAAATAAAAAATCAAGAGCAAGTGCATTGTCTCTCCGCTCTGTGCTTCATCCAGGATCCAGTAACTGTCTTTTCTCGCTTTGCTTTACAGCGGCTCTCTGCCAGAGCTCCGGCTTCCCGTCAGGGCAGGGCGCAAAACAACCGCCCGGTTAGGAAACGTTGGCCACTTTAAACACATCACAGTCTGTGTTTGGCCTCGCCAGCTTCAGAATCAAGTCTGTTCGCGCGAGTCTGTCCTCGTTCCGTGTTGGCTGTGGTTTACGAGCTGGCTTGTGTCCGTTTGTGTCACGTCCGTCTTCATCGGGGACAAAGATGCCGTCATAAATTCACTGTAAACATTCCTCATGTTGTCAGCAGCCAATGCAGCTGCAAATTTTCAAAGCATTTCTTTCTGATCAGCAGAAAAAAATGTCTAAAGAAATGTACAATGTGTATCTACTGTCTCCTCATATATATATTTATATCTAATAAAAGTTTGGATCTGGGCGTAGGCCATGAAAACGGTGTACATGTATAAAAGTGAATGGCGCTGCGTTGATACATGCTCTGGAAAGCAGTTCAGCCTGATGTTCAGCACTTTACATGATATGTCACATGGTTCCTGCAGATGTCCGTCGCTGTGACTTTGTTGGTGTCTTCTTTTAGTCCATCAACCAGTGGGAATCTCTGCGTTTTTATGAGTTGGCAATTACGAGTGGCATCATGGGAGTAGCAGCACTGAAAGTGGAGTCAAACGCCAGCCTGGCCTGTCCAATGGAGTGCGGCGATTGTCTTATGCTTGGCAGGAGGAAATGAAGTTGCTATTTTCACTGTAGAGGAGAAGAGAGGAAAGAAAATAATGAATATTTAGGCCTTTTTTCTAAATGTAAACAAACAAAAGCACAGATCACTAATATCCAGACGATGAACAGCTCACCAAGTAGACATCAAGAACAGATCCGTCATCACGGTCCATGTCCACGTCCATGGTGCTCTGCTCTGACGTGAGGCAGATAGCGCTGTCCTCCAGAGTGAACGTGGAGCTGGACGCAACGTCCTCTCTGAAACAGAAAAAACACATGTTTATGTGAGCTTGTAGGCAGCCCTCTCAGCGTACTGTCTGGGGTCAGGGGCAGATGAATTACAGCAGCTGTATAAACAGCTGATGAAAAGCCCCAGAAACAAATCACACATGATTGCAGAGACTCTGACATCAAAGAGACAAAGAGATGAAGCGCTTGCGAGCAGTTTGAGAGACCTGTCTGGTGTCGGACCACTGGAGGCCTCATGTGAGAGTCTCATAGCCTCAGAAATGTCTCACCGGAAGAGAACAAATTACACGAAACCAGCCAGATTTGAGCACAAGTCAGAATAAGATGCTGGCTGGGAGAAAACGGGAAACAGGTCCCATGTAGCATAGGATACCTCATAAAAACATACAATGAATAAAAAGCATCAAGCTAGCAGCATATAAATGTAATGTAGCAGTGGAAAGTACTTCAAAACATTAACTCAAGTAATGTACTTGAATCGTAATTGTACTTTGGAGGGGCTGCAAAGTGACGCGGTGGTTAGCACCGTCGCCTCGCAGCAAGAAGGTCGTCGGTTCACATCGCGGTGAGGACACCTGGGATCTTTGGAGTTTACATGTTCTCTCTGTGCAGTGTGGGTTCTCTCCAGGTTCTCTGGCTTCCTCCCACAAGTGCAAAAACATGTTGAGGTTAATTGGTGATTCTAAATTGTCCGTAGGTGTGAATGTGAGTGTGCTTGGTTGTCTGTCTCTAAGTGTAGCCCTGTGATAGACTGGTGACCTGTCCAGGGTGTCCCCTGCCTTCACCCTAAGTCAACTGGGATAGACTCCAGCCCTCCGCGACCCTAGTGAGGATGAAGCGGTATATAGATAAAGGATGGATGTATTTTTGGAGTATTTCCATTTTGTGCTACTTTATACTTTCATCCTTCTACATTTATCTGATCACTTTAGTTACTTTTAAGATAGAGACTTTACACAGTGGCTAACCTAACAAGCTTTTAAAGTACAACACACTGTTAAAGATTAAACCAGTGGTTTACGACCCTTATTTCTCCTGACATTTTACAAAAAGCGTGTGTGTGTAGTCAGAGCCACATTTCACACATCTATGAGTTAACAGCTCCACAAAACACAGATTTTTTTTCCTTTCAAACTTCTCGCAACTTCAATAAATGTTCAAATGATCCAATTTCTCACCAAAAATCAAAGATTAGAGAAACAATAGTCCAAAACCTGAAAATGGATCTGTGAATCAGAACTTTTTTTTTCTTTTTGTTCTTCAGATTAATCTGGTGTTGTTGTGTATAAAACTGGACGTTAAGTACTTCAAACCAGCTCCACATATAATATTAACATGTTGCTGACAAACTGATGCTTCACTATTAATAATCGAACAATGTCATATGTATTAATACGTCAATCAGAAGTACTTTAATACTTTTACTGCATTTTGCTGCTAATACTTGTCTCATGCACGATTTTGCCTTGTGTTGGAGTATTTTTGCATCGTTGCATTGATACTTTTACTTCACTAAAGGATCTGAGTACTTCTTCCACCACTTAAGTGATGTGCTAATCGTGAGTGAAACGTGGATTTAAATGTTGTTGTTTGACGTCCCGCCTGATTCAGTGCTCTGACGAACCACTAGGGGGCAGCTGTTTTCTTTAAATGTGCATCAGGTGACTCCCTGATAAAGGAATGTGCTTTCACCCTTTTATGACATATGACTGACTGTGTTTAGAGTTCAAAGTCAAAATGAAATCCAGGTAGAGAGCAGCAGGAATGTGCACTTGTACAAAAAGATGGAAGAGAAAGGGATATATATATATATACTGGTACACTGAAGCTTTATTTAAATAATAAAAACACTACAAAAGGTGTTACTACTGAAACAGGCCGACCTGCTGTCAGTGGAGGATTATTGATATACTCTCCACTGCCCCGGTTGTCCACTTCTGTCACACTCTTTGTGCGGCGTAATGGCACCGAGTAAGACCGTGTCAAAGCTGCCGTTTAAGTATTCATGAAAACAGTTGACAGAACAATGTCAGGGCAGCAGCAGGTGACTGATGCAGGGACAAGACTGGGCAAGTCACACAATGGAGGCTCAGAGAGCAATCTGAAGCCGACGCTGCCGGACAGGAGGAGAGGCGAAAGATGGAAAAAACACACACAGGAGGAAGAGGACGGAGTGTTCAGGGGCAAGAGGGAAATGAAACCGTCCAGTACGAGACAGCAAAGTGTGAGAAGACAGTGTGTCAAAGGCGTAATAAAAGCTGTTAGTGGAAAAACGTTACTGGTCATTTATCAGATTATGTAATATAATTGGAGGCATGTACAGTAACTAATAAAGGTCATTAACTGTTACTCAACACCGTTCCATTAAAGCACCCTCTGAGTTCGGTCTTACACAATGACTGGAGAAGCACAGTGAAAACATAACGATGAAAATCTGGCAGCAAATATATGTAACAAGGAATTGTAATTTTAAAAAAAATTATGAAGATTTTTTAGGTGGACATTATGTAGGGTTTTGGAATTTGTTTTTACATCCATTATCTATACACCGCTTGATCCTCACTTAGGTCGTAGGGGGGTGCTGGAATCTATCCCAGCTGGCTTAGGGTGAAGGCAGGGAACACCCTGGACAGATCACCAGTCTATCACAGGGCTACACTTAGAGACAGACACAAAGCACACTCACATTCACACCTACGGACAATTTAGAATCATCAATTAACCTCAACATGTTTTTGGACTGTGTAGGAGGAAGCCAGAGAACCTGGAGAGAACCCACGCTGCAAACTCCAAGCAGAAAGATCCGGGTGCCCCCAACAGGACGCGAACCAGCGACTTTCTTGCTGCGAGGCAACGATACTAACCACCGCTCCACCTTGCAGCCCAGAGTCAAACATAAAAGAATGAATTACTATTTGTAAATATAAACATATTATAATTTATATTTTTGGATTTTATTTTTTTTTGGTACAGTTTTTACTTTTTTATTTAGAGTTAACATGTAACTAAATACTTTTATTTGGGATTTTACTAGTTATTAATGCAATTGAACAAAAACTGATAAATCTGTAAAAAATCTGTAAATTGTTAAAAAATAAATACATAAATAAATTATTTTTGTTGGATGCAATATTGTAGGGTTTTAGCGAGGTGCGCTGAAATGATTTATGTTGTGATTTGGTGCTCTATATATATAAAGCCGAAACAAATATTCTACTGCTGTTGAAACTTCCAGCTATTTCCCGTCTTGTAAATCAGAGAGACCATCATCACTCATATGTGTCGTCCATATGTTGTGTTTGGAGGCGGTGTTTAGGATCCACGCTGCCACTGAAGCTGAGTCACCTGCTCCATGACGCACGTCACCGACAAGACGACGTGATGTCAGAGCACAGGTGACGATCACGTGGGAGGGTTTGAGCATGTGTGTGTGTGTGTGTGTGTGTGTGTGTGTGTGCTGGGCGTGCCTTCATTCTTCATGTATTGTGTTCAGGAGTCTTACATCATGGTTTGTAAGATGACAAACTGCACTAACATTGTTGGATCCTCAGTATTTCAGTTAGTTGAGTAAATTTGTGATGTTACTTTTATTTCTCTTTTGGCAAACTCTTTGGGTCTTTTGTGCCTATAAAAAGTATTCAACCCCCTTGTATGGCTTTCTATTATTTCATGTCAATGTAAAAACAGATTTCTACAATGTCAAATAAAAATGTGAAACAAGTCATTGCATAAGTATTCACACCCATCAGCTCGGTGTTTAGTAGACGCACCTTTGGCCACAGGTAGAGCACTGAGTCTCTCCCATCTCAAGCTTTTAACTCCCTCAGAGGAGTCAGCGGTGTCCTGGTGGCCTCCCTCACTCGTCTCTTTCTCGTTTCTCTAGGTAGACTCACACATGTGCCTCCATTTCTTAATGACAGATTTAACCATAAACCAAGGGATACACAGTGACTTGGTTATTTTCTTGTATCCATCCACCAAATTATCCTTTCTAATAACCTTTTCACAGAGGTGCTTGGAGTGTACTTTTGTCTTCATGGTGTATGTAGAGCTGATTTACGAGTGACTGTCTTTATAATACAGTCACCTGAGCCACAGTTATTGCAGTCAGATGATCTCTGTGAACTGTGTGCCTTCTAGCATGAGTCACTTTAAAGGTGTTGAATCCTTTTGCAGTCACTGTGTTTGTGTTTCAATTAATTGCCATGACTTTGTAGAAATCTGATTTCACTTTAAAAAAGAAAGAGTGTCTTTATTAATTCTTGCGAACTCTAAAAGTAGTAAAAGGGGAAACACTTCCAAGGGAGCTGAGTAATGTTTACTGCAAATAACAGCGACTCATGATACGGTGAAAGTTGCCAGAGAGAGTAAAAAGAAAAACAAAGTACCTCTCTTCTGTTTGGTTGTCCACATTTACAAAGATGGAGGAGGTGGAGATGGTTCCCATGGAGGAGCCCTCGTAGAAGGACGGGTTGGCAGGGACCAGATCAGGACGCAGATAAGAACCAAACACAGCTGAGGAGAAAAAGACAAAAACAAATCACGTGATGGCAGTAATGAAAAACAAGACATTTTTCTGCATTCTTATCTTTTATCTGGAACGTTACTGCTTGATAACCAGCAGCAGCTGAGCAGGATCGCGCGTGATGAGTTCCTCTTTAAATGAGAAAACACACATCACCACCCACGGCCATGGTTTCCTGGAAGACCAGAGTGCCATATTATTGAATCAATGCGGATTTGAATGGCTGTATTGATCAAAACATATATCTGACTCTGGGTCATCGAGCAGAGGAAAAGAGAACCGTCTTTCCCTGTAATTCCTGCGCTTTGGTCTCAATAAAACCGACATATTTATCTGTTTCCGGCCCACACTGCAGAGTGAAACAGATTTTCTCTGTCTCTTTGTCTTTAAGATCGACTTAGCAACCATAAAGAGCGAGACAGGAAGTGCAGCAATCCAAATTGCTTTATAGTACGTTGCGTCACAGCTGGAGATACTGCTTGGACAGCGCTCGGTTGTAAAAGGAAAAAGGACACACGGCCCCATGACTTCTTTTTTCTGTTCCACATCCATACTCGCACCCTTCCGGTGCAGCGTTGGCTAATACTCGTATCAAACCCAAAGGTTAGATGCAGAACTTTCACCTCTTATTACTCTCTTGATTAAGCACCCCTCATATACTTCTTGTATATGAGAAAGAAGATAAACCTGCACATCTCTTTCTTTTCCACACATGTACCAATGCTGTATCTGAAGGGACGCTAATAACGACGTAGCCGCTGTTTTCTTTCCATTAAAGCCAAACGCTATCAGCCCAAGCCAGTGCTATGAGGACAGCATTTTTATGGCTGGATGCGAGTGGTTGTTTATAGGCCTCTGGTGTTTCTATGAAGCTGTAATAAGCCACAAAAAAACAGAAAATGAGAGTGGTTGAAACGGTAGATTAGTGGCACTTTGAAGAGGGACATGGTGAGGATAATGGTAAAACAGCAAGGCTTTTATGATGAAGTCACAACTACAACCCCATTAATAATTCAGGCACTTCTAGGAATATCAGCAAACATCAGATATCGACTTTTCTACAAACTGTATGGGGATGAAATGGCTTCACAGTGAACTGTGAGTCGTGCCGGTCAGAGTGAGGTCTTGCTAAAAACTGGTTTTATTTACCTTGTCCATCCAGACTGGCCAGGCTGCGAGCTCCTCCCAGTCGGTCCCTCCTGTCCCCCTCATTCCTCTCATCTGCCTGCGATGAAAGAATCTCCTGTGAGGACGACTTCAGAGCAGGGATGGAAGTGCGAGTCCTCTTTGAAGGGGAGAATCGAAGTGCTGTGGAGCAAAAAGGAGCCGACGAGTCAGGGAAAGAAATGAGAGAGATTCAGGGAAGCAGACGCAGAGAAAAAAAAAACAGGAGCAGATAATTGGGGGAGATAAAGGAAAGAGACAGCTAACCCTGACTGAAGCAATGCTCACACACAATGAGGCTCTGCCTCCAAAATTAGCAGATATTAAACTGTTTAAACGCACAATGACGATTACACAAGCCATCCTTATTGTGCCTCCCAAGCAGGGCTTGAATTGAAATCCTCTCCTGTCATCTCCCTCTGACAGGACTTGGCGATGGTTAATAGTACAGCTAAATCCTCAAATCATTGCCTCAGCCATGTTAATTTCCACAGGGGGTCTGCATGGTTGCATAAGACTTGTTACTATTTTTGATGTTGATGTGAAGTTCCAAACCAGCTTCCTGGCTTCACCTACAGCCACACCCAGGACTCTAAGAATAGACTCTACGCATGAAACAGTTTAAAATGTTGCTCGTAAACATGCAGGAGGTTCAGTCAGTCTGTCACAAATCGATCAGCTCTGCATGCCTGCATTCTGCACAGGCTTAAAAAAATGTGGAATCAACATCAGCTGTGCTGGACTAAAGCAGTTTACTGACCTTAACTGCATTATCCACTGTAGTGGTGTGAAGCTGTCTCCCTTTGTTGTTCTTTTATCTTTTTTAGTTTCTGGGTGTCGGTGTTGTATGATCTAGTCACATGATTGTTTACACATCAACAACAAAAGTATGTTGTTCATTCCTAGAATTAAATCAAACTTTGCGTGTCTGCACACAGTGGATCATGTGCCTCAAATGCTAATCCAACAGCTAACTATAGACGACAATCACAGGCAAGAAAGGGAGGACAATACAAGGAAGCAATATTCCAGTTAATGTTTCAGGTACCAGAAGTGACTTATTTATAATCTTTTTATGCTGCAGTGACACACCAATACCCAGCAATCCACAATAACACCGGCCTATAGATTCACTCTCTTCTTATCAGGCCAGGATTTCCTACTTTTCACAACACATTGCTGCCCATTTTCTCTTCGTTATTGTTTGTATGTGACGCTGATCAAGCAGCGGACTTACGCTGAGTCTTCCTGAAGACGCGCGTGCTCATGAACTTGAGGAAGCGGCTGGCGTAAAACCCCGGCCGGTGGACCGAGACAGAGTCCTGAGGACAAGTGAGAGAAAATGCCCGGCTTTTATTAGACAGCCGCTGGTAGACTTAAGAGGATGTAAGCAAATAAAAGGCTCTTTCATTAAAGCAGGAGTGTCAGATTTGAGCAGGCTATCGACTTACACCATCGTACACCAGAGCTTTCCACGAGTGTTCCAGCTTTTTAATGAACCTGAAGAGAGAGAGAGAAAAAAAAAGAGGAGATGCCTTGTCACAAAAAAATTCCCTTCATTCTAGATTAAACCTGAGATGCTTCCTCGTTCCACTCGGTGCAGCAACATGTACATTTATTTTGGAGGATTTCAGTAGAAAATTAAAGTTACGTAACACTCGGTCTTAAAGGTTCGTCTCTGAGTGCGACAAGCTACCAGAAATACAGAAGCAAAAGTGCTCACAAATCGGTCCTATTCATCGCTACTGACCCGATCTGGCCTCGCCCACGCCGTGTTCATCTGAAGCCTCGACCCACGAGGCTGACAAAGATTTATGTGACGCTTTTAAATTTCCACCGGTTTGATAAAGCCAATGAACCAAAAGGCTTTTCCTCCTCTGTTGCCTGACTCTGTTGCTCACAACAACGAAAAAAAAAATCAATGTGTAAATAAAGAAGACTGATGTGTCCATTTAAATTGCGTTGGATAGAGAAAAAGTCTGAGTGTGGTGAAGTGTCTTGTAGCTCTCTGCACCGGTGATCATTCAACATGAGGGGTTTTGCCGCAGCACAAGCATCAATCAAAGCAGTTTCTCTGAGAGAGCCATGGCATGTTGTCGCACTAAGTCACAAAGCCCCTCTCTGTTTGCAGATTAAATCCCTTAAAACTCATCTCTGTTTGTTGAAGTTACAAATTTAGAGGGGGGTTTTTTTGCATGAAAATCATCCATTCTGGGATTAAAATGGTTTAGATGTAACTTTACACTGTCCATCGATACACTGCAGTTCCAAGGTGGAAATACACAGCGGTAGTGTTGATCATATGGACAAAAACAACTTGGAGCAAATCTTTATTTACTGTCACGTCTACACTGGTTACAGATGACCTATTTTATTCTTCAGAAATGGACAGAAACAACCACACGTGTAGCCAGTTCTGCAGATCATTGCTAGATCTCAACGTGGCCTCAAACGCCGACAGATAAACCCTTTTCTAGTTATTATTATTAAAAACAAAGTTGCAATATTGAAAAAAAAGGTTGACTTAATCTCATGAAGATCAGTACCTGTATGACTGTAGAATATCTATGATACCCAGGAAGATGAGGAGCTTCTCTTCTTTGTGTGTTTTGGCAGGGATGCCGCCCATCCTAAAACAAGAGCACAGCAGCAGTCAGAGAACAGCTACTGTTCCTCTGAAATGTTTGTACCACTGTTCAAATAAAGGCAGTGTGCCTCCACGCTGTTAAAAGTGTTTGTAAAAGAAGCACTCACAGTGTTTACATTCGTGTGTATTGCTGTAAATATGCAGAACAGCGACTGTGTTTGTATTTGTGTAGCTATGGTTATGTGAGAGCCTCGCTGTGTGTGTCCGTGTGTGTGTGTGTGTGTGTGTGTGTGTGTCCACTGCGAGGTATGAGCATGGTTGTATAACTGCGTCTGCGAGAAAAAAAAGTGGAGATTGTGGCGACAGACAGAGGCGGAGTGTGTATGTCCAAATATGTGTTCATAATATGTGTGTGTTTTCTCCCCCAGCTGAGCCGACTCACGTGTCGTCTGTGGTGAGGGCCTCGGCTGCCTTGCCGTCTCCTTGGATGGACTCCATGGCGGTGGAGTAAAGCACCCTTTGACCCACAGGTCTCCTCCCGTCGCAGCCCGCCTGGCCCGGTTCGCCTCCTTCTCGCTGGCTCTGATCCAGGACGTGCACTCCCAGCAGCAGACTGTAGTCCATGATCTTAAAACTCTCCAGCACCTATTGCAAATGACAAGAAATGCACAATGAGTCAACTGATACTACAATGTCTGAGCATCTTGATAGTAATAGCAGGAATAGTCACATTTTTAGAACCTCGTGGAAGACTTAAAAGATCATAGTCTACCATCAGAAGGGCTGTTTTACATACAGAGACATTGTGAAATGTTTTGAGGAACATGTTCTTTTGCTTTCATCACCCAACACACATTCATGCGTCAAAGACCAGAAAGCAAGCAGAAGGAAATCTCTGTTTGAACCAGTTCTGAGCTAAATAAACAAGGTGTTTCTCCACACTGAGCCAAGTGTTACACATTGACCTGTCTGAGGAGGCCTTTGCCCAGTTTCCCAGAGACTCTGTGACTTCATGTCTCCTGGTGCTGGAGTAAAGCAGCACAAGGGTGGAGGGAGAGAGAGAAAGAGAGAGAGAGAGAGAGGTGGGAGCTTGATCTGGGATCAGGGTCACAGCCATGCAGCCAGACTTATCTCATGACCTGGACCGGAGGAAAAAAAAAAAAAACCCTATTGTGCTAGTTTGTAATTCTTTATTTAATTCTGCAAAGAACATCTGAAAACACAAGTTAAAAATTCATGTTGCTCCTATTGACTCTGTCATAAATCTCCCAACTGCTTTAACGTCCAGCATGTGGTAGTTGATGAAAAACCCGAAGAACCCGACGCAGCCAATAAAGCAGATAAAAACTTTATCATCACAATCAGAGACATCCAAAGTTACGGGCCATAAATAACACACAGGATCACAAGCAATGAAAAGAACATCTGATATAATCAAAGAGAACCATGACCCAGAATCCAGACAAAACTGGACTGTTTTCGCTGCATAACCCGTTTTCAAACGACAAGATGTTATTAGTGTTAGTTGTAAATCCGGTTAGCATCTGCAATAGAAGCCAGCCATGTATGAAGTCACACACATTCATATACACGCATGAAACCACAGAAGAGACTTAATGACCGGCTCAAACAAACACTGGGGCTTTTGTCCGAGCTTTTCCATATCAACAATTTGCATCCCCACACTCCAACTCCCCCAGTCTATTCAAACAGCAGCCATTTTGAATGGAGCCATACACACCAGGCTGCCTACAGAGAGCCATTACTGTGCATCCGGGCCCCAGCTTTCCCCACAGCAAACAATCAAGCTGTCACAACAGAGAGAAAGCGGCTAAATTTCAGTTTTATTTCTGCAAAAAGTTTCCCTCAGCTTCTGAAAAATACTGTGTGGAGTGTAATATTACTGATCCTGAGTCCAGTGTGTGGGTCTGTCCCCTGAGCAGGCTGCCCTCTGCTCCCGTTTCAAACACCGCTCAGTTTTCTTAGAGTGAATGGGAAAAGGCTCACACAATACCAACACTCCTGTAGGAAGTGAGCTTTGTCACAGCATCCTCTGATCCTCGACAAACCCCCGATGTTTCTCTGTATATTCCACCCTGAAGCTCTCCTCCGCCCATCTATCCGTGTGCCAGCGAGGCGGTGGAGCTCCCCACAGTGCCGGCTCACATGCCCCACTTTGCAGTGACACTAATACACTGCGAGCTTTCTTAAATCTGAGTATTTGCGCTCAACAGACAGAACACACAGCCGCTTATGTTTGTGAAGCACCGATTGTGAGCAGACGCTGGATATGTTACGGTCACCGAAATGTTCCCGTTAAAGTATGCATTCATAATTCATGAGTACAACGTGCTCCCCGTGACATAACGCCTAGATTTGGGACACATGGCCTTCACCATGTAGACTTGCGGAGATACACGGACTTCAGTTAATTACGGTTTTCACAATAAATTAGGTGGAGTTGCACAAAATCTCTGGCATTGTTTTATAGAAATAAACAACTGCAATAATGTAAATTTTGTAATTACACAAATGCAAATGCAGAAGTATGTAATGAACTGTGTGTGTGTGTGTGTGTGTGTGTGTGTGTGATCACCTTCTGTCTGCATACTGTCATCTTACTAACGCAAACATCTATGATTTATTCATTGCAAATATGTATGAAGGCTTGTGTCAAGTTGCAATGTTGTTTAACCCTCCTATTACCTTCAATTTACATCTTTTATCCTTGCGGTCAATCTGACCCCAGCCATTTAAACCTCCAGAAAATGATCAGAATTAAAATTGTTACCCAAGTTTATGTGTAAATAGCAAAAAAAATAACAGAAGAAATAATGTTGATTATTTATTTAGAGACGTTAAACACTGAATGGGGTCAAACTGACCCCAGAGATAACAGGAGGGTTAAATAATCCATGAGTCCAGCTTCAGAAAATGAATCAACAATGATTTAGATTGTCTATAACTTGTGTTTTTCCAGAGAAAATCTGTAAAAAATTCACTAGTTTGAGCTTCAAGGGGCAATCTTTGTATTCTACTCTCCTGAGATGAAGGTAATCAGACGTGGAAGCTCGTTTCTGATTGGCTACACTGACTGCAGATCAACCCATTAATCTACCTGTGTTGACCAAACCTTTTACTTTCTGCCCTTGTTTGTATCTAATATTAAATACTTTTCATTCAAAAAGGTTAAAGGTGAGCTCTAAATTATCCTGTTGCCATCTAGCCTGAGTTCTCCCCGAGATGACGAAGCCTCCGTCGTCAAACACATGCTCTGAGCAAAGCCCCGTGAGCAGCTTGACATCATCACGGGCATCACTGTCATCATGATGTTTGTCTCGCTGATGCTCTTCTCCGTTACGGATCACGCACACACAGCCGGCACCAGACTGGTAGAAGTAAACACACACTCAGTCCACACTAAAGCCCTCCCCTCTCTCTCTCTCTCTCCGTACAGTAAAGCTCAACATGAATTATTAATGCCTTATGTTGCTTTGGCATTCTGGGGAGTATCAGGGGAGCTGCAGAGTAATGGAGACTCCAAAAAAAAGAGACGAGAGCGCACCCTGCGTTTGTAGCACAAATATTCTCTCAAAACCGTCTTCTTCTCATCACTCTGCTTTCAGCTCCCACATTCCAACAACACACACAAAAAAATTCTCTGTATTCTCTGGAAAAAAAAAAACAGCTGGATTTGATTTTTTTTTTGGAGTTCCCACAACCTGTACTACTACAGGACAGCAATCCCCTCCACTTCCTGGTTCCCTCCACACCCCTCAACCCCCCGTTGCTTGGCTTCAGCCGACCCTTCCTCTGTGTTTACGGTCCGCAGCCTCTCCTGGGGTGACGGGGTTAGCTGCTTACTCATGAAAATGGACAGAGATTCTGCTTAGAGGGCACTTTGCTTCCCGCTCAGGAGGCGAGCGCAGGAAGCCACGACGATAACAAACTGCACAGCACAGAGCTGCTAAACGGCCTCACTTACACGACACACACTTCATACGAGGCACACGTACGGGTTAGCGCATTCACACATGGCAGCAGGTGCGTATCTGGGGTGCTTTTGCTCGTAGATGTGTGTGTGTGCAGCTGCCTGGTTAAACATTAAGGAAGCCCTGACTTAGCGAGAAGGGAGGATTTCAATCTGTGGACTTAAGAAAACATTGAAAAGAAAACACAGGACACTGAGGAAGTCAGCATATTGGTTAATGATGATGTGAAGAGGCCATAACCTGACGAGATCACGTGCAGCTCCTCTGAATTTATGGGAAAACTCATTCCAACTAAACAACACAAGGTCCGGGTTTATCCAAAAGTTTGTTGGACTTAAAAGCTGGAACTTGTTTACACGTGTTTAAACATCTTTTCTGTGAGGCTGTAACACTCAACGAAAGACTAGTGCACGAGAACCAAAAAAAAAATCACTCCAACAACAATTCATGTGTTTTTGTGTGCAGTTTATAATTAGGGAGACAAGACAAAAGACTGAAGCTTTGTTTCCTAACCAGCTAAATTAAACACTCCCACAGCATCACACTGTTCATTAGCTCTAATTCGTATCCATGTGCCATCAATCACCATTGGGAAATAAAACCATCAAAGTTCTCCCACTCCCAACACGCTAAAAATCAAAACAATTAAGCTGAATCCGGTGTAATGGAGGTCATTAAGTCGTTAGCCGAGCGGTGCCGTGCAGGGTTGCCAGGTTGTCTGGCAGGTTGGCCCGGCCCAGCAGGAACTCTGCCAGGAAATCTTTCTTCCTGGTCTTTTGGGCTCCTCTGATGCATCAATCCACACTTACAGTAACATCCTGGTCAGTTTCCAGGTTAAACATCACATCGTAACACAAGTGTGGTTACATAACAAAGTGGCTATGGGCTCTAAACCCCATCATTAGTCAGCCGCCATGAGGGTAAAACACCTTAAATCACTGAGTGGAAGTTACATAGTCATCAGCGATAAAGCGATCCCACGAGGCCGCGATCGTGTCCTCATAACAGGGGAGGAGAGTCACCGAGTGTTAGGACCAGCTATATATTCAGCTTCCACTGGATCCAAGCTAAAGGATTTATTGTGTAGTTTCACAATATAAATCTTTTTTTTTTTTTACAGTTTACGAATCCTTTTGTGAAGTTTGTTTTGAATTTCTGCTGCATAACTGTGGCTAGACGTTCGCCTTCTCACATTAAATTAAATAAAATAGGTGTAAACAGCCTCACAAGACTGTCTTCTATCGGCTTTGAAAAAAGCAGCTTGGCTGACATTAATAGCTGACATTAGGTGGTGAAAGCAGACCTTATGTGGGTTATGTTTTCACTCATTTCATTACCGCTACTCGTGTAATATCAGTTGTTATTATTATGATTTAATCAAATAGAAACTTTCTGTCTGACATAGAGAAACCTTGTGATGCTAATAAAGAACACAGGATTTATTTATAATGAACTCTGTTAGACTGGTCTATATTGAACTGTGGAGGACTGTCACGTGCAAAACAGATTGTTAAAATGTTTGTTGTTATAAAACTGTATGAGCCACAGTATCTTTGCTGTTGACAGAGGACACGTAAATCAGCATCAGCAATTCTGTTGCTTTTGCTTGTAAAGCCTGGAGGCTTGTTATTTCCTGCAATTGTGGTCAGCAGAATGTGAACATTTATTGAACATGGTCCTTCAGTCTCTTTAACTAGGTTGTTTTTTGCAATTTCTCTACATAATTGTGACCTAGACAAGCAAAAGGCTATGGAATGATGAAGCCTGTGAGTTACCGTCTGTTTCTAATGCTTTTAACATATAATAAATACTGGTGAATCACCAGAGCACAGATTGTGCCTCTTATTAAAGTCAAACCTCCTCCAGTCGACGCTCTCCCGGCCTCTGCATTAAAATAGAGAAGAATGCGAGCCTTTAGATTGGACGACTATCTTTGGACTGAGCTCCGAGTCTCTCACGCTACCAGGATCATGTCTTAATCACATTCGGTGTTTGGAGAGCTGTCATGTATTGAAGCGTAGCCGCGCAGGAAAAGCAGAGCAGAGACCGGCGGCAAACTGACAGCTTAAAGCCAGCACACAGTGGAAACACGGCACTTTCTCCTCCTTTGGCAAACACATGGAAAATTCTCCTTTCAAAACATTTTGTCCAATATAAGATGCACGCAGGCCATCCTGAACCAGTGCATAATGTGGCTAATGTAGAGGGAAGCTTGTGTTGGTGTTTAAGCCTCCGTAATCGGTTACAAGAATGAGAGGTCAGTGACATCCCTTCACCAGCTCTGTCCCCTCTCTCTGCTGAATTCCCAGGTTAGAAGCAACCGGCTCTAAGCTCTGATATATCACATGATAGCATGTCCATGTGAGGCCTTGCTGCACAAAAGGCAACATGTTTTAGCAAAGCAATGAAGGCATGAATATCCAATAGCAATCGCTGTTTTTAAGTAAAACCTTCCAAACAAAAATGACTTGATCCTGGACTTCCTTATTTATTACACGGCTTCCTTCTATGGAATAACACTGAGCTTCTTTGTGTGGTACGACTTTGCCATTTCAAAGAAATTCCAATGAACAGACAGCGACACTGACAAAGGCACCTACCCGACAGTCTCTCTGCAGGGTCTTCATCAGGTTGTTGTACGTCTCTGCGTCAAAGTAAAGCCCCTCCTCATGCATGTCCTGGAAGTCCAGGTCTTTGTAGGTCGGACAGGCCTTCTCCCTTTCTTTCCTGGAGGCTCGTCTCTTGTAGGTGGATCCCTTCAGATCGTATTTGTAGTGCATTTTGACGGAGCGAGGCAGCACATTGTTCATCACCACCAGTCGGATGTTGATGCCTCCAGACTGGATACAGTACAGGCCGTAAAACTTGGGCAGCAGCGTGCGTGGATTCTGGTTCAAGTTCTGAGAATTTAAAGATAGCGTATGAGCCATGAGCAGGAAACGTCCAAAACTACTTTGGGCTCTGACGATTAAAGCAATTGTGAGTGCAGGGGGTGTTAAAATAAATGTAGGTAACAGGTACGAACAAGTGAGCAAAATGACCACGTTTGACTCCTGAATATGCAAACAGCATGTTCTCAATCTCCTTGTTTGAGACACTTTTCCCAGCTTAGAGCTGGAGCTAATGAGAAAGTTCACTGTATCTCATTTATGCCACTGAAGCATTTCATGAGTGATCTGTTCAAAATCACTAAGTGGGTGTGAACAGCCATTAAGTGGAATTGTGGTACTTCACCATGCTGAGTGTCTCACCATGTAGTATCCAGGTAGCAATCTCTGGAGAAACTTGGCCTCTTTGTGCTGCACAGTTTTAATGATGAACTCATCATCGCTGGTTAGGTAGAAGAGCGAGCCGCTGGCCCCCGGGTTGGTCAGCTCGATCAGAGGCTCGTTCACCAAAGAGTACTGAGGAGGGAAACACATGAACAACATTTCACTTGAAGCACTGGTCAGACTTCTAGAAAACAGCTCTACTTACTAAGTATTGATTCTAAAGCAGCTCTAAGCACATAAACTACTATACAGAAAAAATGACAACACTTAATACTGAAGAACTCATAAACAAAGAGGCTATAAAACAGACATCTGTTGTTTATTTAGTGAAGAAAAAATAAACTATAGTAAATCTTTGCTTTCCTTTAGGTATGTACAGTGACCCGGTTTCATTTCCAGCACAGTTTCTGTTTTAGTGGCTTCACACTGACAACCCAAACAAAGTTAGCGTACAGTGGAACATTATTTTGCTCAACATGCCATTCAGAAACCATTAATATTCTGCTATATTAGCCTCCTCTCTGCTGCAAAGGCTTTCCACAAAGCTCCCATTCAACCGTAAGAGCCTCAATGAGGTCAGACACAGACAATAAGCAGTAAGAATCAGAATCAGAAAAAACCTTATTTATCCCTGAGGGGCAATTAGGTATTATGTAATTATATGTAATAACATATATAATTAGGTAAGGTCAACATTCATCCCAAAGGTGCAGGACGGGGTTGATATCAAGGCTCCATGCAAATCTAGTCAGAATTACTGTAAGCCTCCATCAACCAGTTAAGTTGCAGTCTACATCCATGTCGGTCCAGACTTGACCTTTGACCTTTCTGCATATTAAAATGTCATTCCTTCATCGTTTCATCTCGTTAGACATTGAAGCGGTGATATAATTAGCATGTGAATTCCAGAGTTCTGGCAAAAGACTCCCTCCAGAAGTTCAAGAGATACTGTGATGACCTGAAAACATAATTCCTCCGGCTTCAGCTGTCATCGACATTGAGGCATAAAAATCAATTCTTCACAGATCTGACTTTGTGCCCAGGGGAACAGGAAACAGCAAAGGGAACTTTGCCAAATTGGTGCCACAAAGCTAGATGCTCACTTTTGACTAAGATATTATTCAGTGCTGTAGCATTAAGATTTATAAACCCAAACCACTGAATCAGCTCCAGTTGCCCGTGTAAGTACATGGTTGTCCACATACTTTTGGCCACGTACAACACTTTTCTAACACGCCAGTGAAAGCGGATCTCTGTCCACAGCTGTTTTACTGTCACATTGATTACAGAAATGCCAGTTCTGCGTCACATCGGTCCAGTGTTTATCTGTTTGCCAAACTTTATTGCTATCTGTGGACATTTGAGCCTCGCTGCCAACAAACAGCCGAACAAGCCGGCCAACATGGACAGAAGCTCATCAGCTGAGGGTAATAGGAGCAATTACTGCTTGTGCTGCGTCTCGGGAAAAAAAAAAAAAAAAAAAAAAAAAAAAAAAACCCGTGGGAGAGCCTGTGAGAGCAGCAGGCTGTAGAGAAGTATTAGATGTTAATCAGGGCATTATGAGAGCAACATGTTCAGAGGAGAAGAGAAACACTGGAGGCATCTGCTCTCCTCCTCCAGAGACTTCCTCTGGTGACCGTCCGCAGTCACGTTGAACAACAAACACATCCGCAGTTTATTGCATTTGCATTCAGGATACTGTGTATGTGTGGGCATCTTCTCTCTTAATTAGACTCTGCTGCGCGGCCTCCGTCTGAATGAATTCATCATCACCTCAAGGACATCAATCATTAGCACGCTCTCTAAGCTGCAGTGCCTTGTGCCATCCTTCCCTCAGCTGCCTTCAAGTTACATTTCTTCCTCTTATCTCTTCCGGAGCCTTTTTGTCTTTCGCTTGTGCAGAAACGAATTCGGCATTCAAAAACAAGAATGCAGACGGTTGGGTTTATGACAGGCTTGGAGGCAGATGGGGGGAAAAAAAAAAAGGCGTCATAACAAGATAAAGCCCAAACAAGATCACACGAAATCTCATTTTGTTCCGAGCAAGAAGCGCACATGTAGAAAAAGTTGTGAGCAACAAGGCGCAGCGATATATGAACAATGACAGTGGCACACATATAAAGGCTTTGACGGGGGTTTTGAACGTGTCCTCCTGAGTAATATTAGCTTCAGTCAGAGAACATTTTCACAACACACATCACACACATGCAAACAGGCTAACAAGGGGAAAAAAAAACAAAAAACGCACAAACTCGAATCACCAAAATGCTTCTTTCAAACGCGTCTTTGATTCTGAAATCACAGAATCATCTGCTGATTTCATTCAGCACTGTGAGCAGAATGAGGGCATGTTCTGTCATTCGCTCAAACATCTCCTCCTCTCTGGTGTTTTCACCCCGGCTCTATCCTCTCATGGTGTACTCATTGAAAAACATGTTGGATTCTTTTACAATTAAGCATGCACTGAGGTAAAATGCTAGCATTTAGAACGCTGGAAGTGATTTAAGACTGACTGTCGCTGGCCAACACGTGTCTGTTTGTTGTATGTGTAGAGGCAACTGAACAAAAATGAAGTGTGTGGTTCCAGATACAGTATGCAACCAGGAGGGGCATTTAAAGTTAATTTAAATGTGTACTTCGAATCACACTGATGACATTTTAAGATTTGCTGTCTTGAGCTAAATAAGAAGCCTGACAGGATGGTGTCCAGTAACTATAGAGGCATTGCAGTTGGCTGAGCTTTGCAGGGAAACAGGGTAAAGGTGACAAAATGCTGCTACAAGTACCTCTAAAGCTCACCACTTAATGTGTTATATCTGGTTTGCTTCATCTGCACAAAAAAAGTGTATACTCAGCATTTTGCAGTTTTATGTGCAGAAGTGTTTCTTGGCTCAGCGTCTGACAAGCATATTTCCTGAAATGTGAACCTATTCCTTTATGTTTTTAACATAACATGCTAAATTATCTTTTTTTTTCTGATTATAACTTGAACATATAGCAGGTGTAGTATTACATCTGATGTTTAATAGTGTCTTATGTGCATTTGATTCCTAAATTTGCACAGTTTCACGCAACAGCAGCTGCATGACAATGTGCAAATCGTTTGACGAGAAGCAGGACCGAACTCGAGGCAGAGGATTGTGAATGCAAACACAGTTTTCACTCTTACCAGGTAATCGTCCGGTTTGATGCCGAACAGATCTCTGAAGTAGCGGAAGGCGAGCGGGGCGTAGGTCTTGAAGCGGAAGTCAGGATAGTGGTGCGCCGGGGTCAAGTTGCTTCCCTCACTGGTGTGTGTGTGTGTGAGGAATAGTGAAGCCCAGAGGAAACAAGAACATGTAACAGTGCATTAGATACATTTGTTTTTTTTTTCTCCAACGCAAACTCAAATATAAAAGGACAAAGACAACTTTTAACATGATATAAGTGAAACCTAGGAAGGAAAGTGAACACTGACGTCTGATCTTTGTGCCTGGCTATGGAGACTCCCAGTAAGTTTATCAGAGGGCCCTTGTAATTTGCTTCATTCACGCACCAACAGGCTTCAGTAAAGTCATCTATGGGAACCCAGATTCACCAGCATTGTACTGACAAACAGGCCTGTATAGAGTTCTTCGCCTGGAGACTGAGCATGGCTCTGATTACTGGATCTGAACAATACCAAACAACACATGAGCCTCCAACTCAGAGGGGCAGAACAGAGCCAGCAAAAGGGTAGAAAAAAAAAAAACAAACAACAAACGCAATAACCTACATTTTGCTGTCTCGACAGGACTATGAGACGCTTTTAGAGGAGCTTTGACAAAGACTGACCTTGTTGTGTAACTAACCTAACCTAAAGCAAGCACATCTAATAAGGTTAGAGTGACTCAGCCGCCGCGTCTTTCATCAAATAAACTCTCATTGACCCTAAATGTGGAAGTAGGTTAATAAAGGTTTTTGTTTTCCAGGGCACCTCTAAACCTAGTTACTTGGTCGATGTTCTGGGTTAAAAAAAAAAGAAGGCCACCGTGTTGTTGTTGGTTCCTGCAGGTACTATTTGTACTAATGTGATACAGGCTGCAGCGAGGCCCTGCTGTGTAACTTTATACCTGTGATTACTCTGCAGTGAAATGTGACTGCTTTGTTTGGGGTGTGAGCGCAACAACAATTATCTGTCACCGGTGGTGGTAACGTATACTTGCAGCACGCAGCGACACACGGCACCTGGAAATGTTTTCATTCAGTGTAATCAGGGAGCCATCTGTGTGCGTGGCGCTCGGAAAGAGGCGTGCTGGCTGTCAACGGATATGTGCACTGATTAACACAAAACTGAGAGGGTGTGTGTGTGTGTGTGTGTGGGAGTCAAAGTGATCTGCGACATCTCCAGGCATCCAAAACAAGACTGACAGGACAAACAGCGGAAAACCCTCTAGAGAGGAACAACGAGACGAAGAGGAAGAGAAGAAGAAGAGCGATGAGAGGGGAGGGAGGCAATAAAAGCATCCGAGAGCTGTCTCCATCACTCAGCCGCCCTCTCTCAGGATCAGTGGAAAGAAATCGAGGGGTTCGCGCTCGTGTGCTGTTACGGAACAGAGCAGCAACGCTTAGAGAAAGCACAGAGAATAAAGAGGGAAGCTGTTCCGTCAGACGTGAGATGTAAGACATCCGTTTCCCTCCCTGCTGATGATGTTTTGTTTGTTGTGTCTTGTGTAATTTTCGTCTTTTCCAACCACATAACCTTGAGTTTCCTGTTTGTTTTAATTCACTTGGCTTTCCTGAAACATGTAAGCCCCGGAGACAACTTAAAGCTTTTGTGGTATTACGTTGGATCTAACAAGCTCACTTAAAAATACACATATTCTGTACTTCGACAAGCTACGGCAGGTTTTTGACACTCATCGCCGTAAAGCCATTATCAAAACAAGAGTTATGTTTGGCTGTTGCTGAGAAGCAGGACAGTATAAAAGGTCAGTGTGCGTGCCAAGACCTAGTTTGCATAAACCACACTGAGTTTGCATATCCTGGTGCTGCATCTCAAAGGTAAACCTCAAAGTATTACCTGACATGACTCTAATTCTCTTCTCGAAGCTTTGTAGTTAAAAACAGCCTTGGACACAAAAAACAAACTAGTGAGGACCTTTTTTTTCTTGTATGCACATTTTAAATAGAAAAGGGACACATTTCCTAAAACCAGTTAGCAAATTATGTGTCCAAGAATCAACTGAGTGTCACTACATGTGTACAAATACTTTAGGAGTGGCTCTTTTAAAGAATTCCACTTTAGATTATATAAAATGTTTCTTTAAGCTGATGATGTAATTGTGAAGCTAGCCCGAGATGACTGAGCGGCCACACACTGACGTATATTTTGCACTGTGGCAGCAAGAGGCACACAGTAAGCTGATTTCACAGTTCTTGGCAGGATAATCCACGAGAATAGTTTTATCCCTGCATCATGACTTCGAATAGCAAAATTCACTTTGTTGACAAATGATGATGGAGGCAGTTAGGCAGCAGGATTTCTTTGCACCGGATGTCCAGCACCTGCACTTTCCGCTGATTTATAATAGTTTTGAATGTTTTTAATACAACACCCAGGCGTTTAATTTTTGAGTGGGCAGGCAGTCAAAGCGTGGTCCTTAGTCCCTCTCCATTCACTCCCTATGCAGAATCAGGAAGCTGTCACAGGCGAAGAGCAGCCTGTTACCACCTACACGTAATCTGTTTTTATGAAGCCGCTCTTTGATTCACTCGCCGCTGCAGCTGAATAACCTCGAGCTTATGAAGAAGTCTGGCTGCTATTCTGATGACAATGCGCAAACCTTTCGCCGCGCAAATAAGTCCTACGTTGAGAGAGCGCTTCTGAAAATGCATTTTTCACAGAGGATGTCATGCTGCGCGGCACTGACCTGGGCAGAAAGACGCTCTCCACCACATAGAAGTCTTGCATAAGCACATCTCTGTCAGGCTTGGATGTGAGGTTGCCGACTGTATAGCCGATACCGAGCTGAATGGCCCCCTTCAAGGCCGATGACGTGGTCTTGACGAGGGGGAGAAATGGAAGAGAAAACATCACATTAGTGCCGTTGTAGCACAATGTCACTGCAATCCTAATTACATACGCTATTAGATGAAAAGATTCAAGTCACATGCTCACACAAGACGGGCCGTGAAATACAGAGTGACTGGTGCACAAGGCTGTGCAATAACAAGGAAGTGATTAAAAAAATTAAAAAATACTTTACATACTCTACATAATGTAGTTTAATCAAAGGGTTTGTCTGGGAGTTAAACCCCGGACGACTCACACCCAACGCTAGAATTATACCTCGAAACCAACAAACCAAGAAAGAAAATGTAAAAAAAAATAATAAACCAGGCGTGTCCAGGAATAGTAATCCTGCTATTTTAACTATTATTTATATTTTAGTCTGAAAAGAGGCTATTTTAACGTGTCACACCGCAGTCAAGAACGATTCATACCTTCTGCGTACCACAATTCTGCAGAATAATTTCCAAACACCTCACAAACCTGCTAGTATTCTTACTGCTCAAGGTGCCGCCACAAAAACACCTTTTGACTTTCTACTCCCAGCTTAAACAGAGGTAGCTACTGTATGGAGCCTCATAATGGTTACATCTGAAGAAATGCTGCCATAAGCTGTGACGTCTACGGTTTAAAAAAAATGAAAGTAAGGAAAACAAATGTGACTGATCTCTGGCAGCCGGCCCTGGCGGGGGTCAGGACATTATGTGCTGCAGAAGGACATTTTAAGGACTCCAGTGACTCAGAAGTAAAGGGCTTGTTGGCTCTAAACAGCGGCATTCCAAAATAAATGTTATGGGACCAGGTTTATATTCACCATAAGAGGAAAATAAAAACCAAACACAGTGAGGCTCTTGTGTGAAAAGTCTGCTTTTACCTTCTTGTATGTTTTCTCTCTGCTCGTGCTCCAAGGCCCTCCCATCCCATTTTCTGTTGTGGTTGACATCTGAATGGAAACAACAAGCCGAGTATAATACAGTGAAAAGATACTTATTTCACAACCTTTAAAATAAAATCTAATTTGCTGAGAGGTCAAGAGCACGAGCTTACCTTGCTTGACGAAAAGCTGTGCCTGACAGACAGCGATCAGGGCGACAGCTCTTGATTGTCAGGTAGAGAAATCATCAGGAGTTGTCAAGGGAGCCTCTGCGGGGAAAAAAAAAAGCAACACAAAGAGTTCGTATTACACAACAAAAATAAACCAGGGCAACGAAACGCTCACAGACATCGCAGTACAGTATGTGAAGCTGCTCCAAAGTTATGACAAGCAGTGTGCGGGAGGGAACGTGTCCACCAGCAAAGGCTCCTTAATTAACTGCGATACACTTGTGAGCCATTCAGTTTGAGGCCATTTTAATACCATCACTCTCCTGTTAATCTCTGCCCGATATGAGAGGCAATTTTGCTACAGTAGTCACTCATGACTCATGAAAACGTGAATGTATGCGTGTAGTTAGTGCCTGCCAGTGTGAAGGTACAGATAGCATACTGTACTTTAGAATGCATCTCCTTGCTCTTCGTCATGTCTGGCTTTCCATCTGTCTTTCCGTGTTCCAGCCCGTACGAGTGCAGAATAACACCTCATAAAGGAGCCAAGCTGCCAAGTGTGTGTAAATGAGGTGTAGCCCTGGGGCTGAAAGCTGGCACTGCCCAGCTTACACCACAACCTTCCTGAGCCGCAAAACACCAGTCTGTCTTGTTTTCCCATATGTTCTCCATGAATTTTACTGCACCACTCCCCGTCCCTCGTCCAGATACGTCTGTTTTGCTGTTTTCCTTCGTTCCCCAGGGAAAAATAAGGCAGAGTGACATAAGTCAATGAAACCGTGGCTTAGTGTGCGTCTTCTGAGAGTAGCAGGACAAAAAAACAAAACAAAACAGCAGACACGCACACGGGGAAGTCTGCAAGGAGTGAGAGCTTAATAGAAACATTGGCCAAATTTGGACTTTTGTCTGACAAGCTCTGGCAAGCCTGCAGTCGCTACGCCACCTGCATATAAATGCACCTGCAGGTCTCAGAGCCTCGACTATTGCATAATGCCTTTCTGCTTCGTCAGCACTTGCGGTTGCCGTGTCCTCCAGTCACCTGTTCTGTACCACATCCTACGAAACCCCAGCAAATCACAATCTATTGCACTGAGTGTGTACACTTCTCAATCTGCCGCTATCAACTACACCCCCGCAAACTATGCTGTTTATGTACGTCACTTGTCATTTAAAAGCCTTAAATATGTCGCAGCCTTGTTAAAAATAGTCTTCAAACAGAGATGCTGTGAGATGAATACATGTTCACATGCACGGATTCAGATATTAAAAGAATGTGGCAGACTCTGACTCTTATCTCCAGACTGAGTCCTTATCTGTGCACCAGCTCTTCTGTTGCTATAAACACAGAGACAACAGCAGATGCATATTGGCTGAAGCAACACCTCCCAGCAAAGACTATTTGTCTTGGTTTGGGTGTGTGCGTCATTTATATCTCCTCTATCACCTTTAAAATAATATCCTGTCTTTCTGATGAAGGATCATGAGCACATGTGCTCACACAAAACTCATCCCGAATGAAAAGATCGTGACCGCCGTAGGACTTTAAGAGAGGCCGAGGCGACATTAAAAAAATCCTTGCTATCGATCACGAGCTGTGTCTGTATAGAAGCAAATCTGTGTAATGAGGTGTTGATCCACCTGAGTCACTCCGCCGTATGACTGGTTATGTGCTCTGAACCTGAGGAATGTTAATAAGCCTGCAGGCATGCCTGTCTGGCTCTCAGCACAGCCCTGGCCTGAGCGTCAGTGTCAAAATGAATTGTGCGGCCCTCCCTCTCACCTGACCCCACAACCCAGCCGCTACTCTAACAGACAGTTTCCAGAACAATCCGTGAGAGGCCCGCAGCTGCAGAGAACAACAGCAGGTCTCTTGTTCACCTCTCAACAAAAGAGAGGCAGACAGATGGACGGACGCATGGATAAAAATGGATGGATGGATGATCCCAATCAACCGTGTCTTGCCACCGTCAGGCGCTCCCATCGCAAACACCGCTTGCCATGCAGGAACATAACAGAGAGCACTAGTGCACTGTCACACATCTGTAAAGCAATACTTTGTAAGTCACAATTACATTAGCGTGCCCTACAAACACAAAAAAAAGCACCTTTGTCAAATCAATGCCTCGGGTAGACAGTGGGTGTGGATGTTTGTGGTCTGGATGAGAGTCAAATGGGTAAAACGATACCGCTGATCGATTAAAAGGAAGCTCTGTACTTGAATCTGCGCGAGAACCACTGAGAACAAGCCTGTGTGGAGGGGACGTCTCTGTTTCTGTGCCTTTGTAAAAGTCAAGCAAGGTCACAGACTTTATATCATCTGATAAACTTGTGCAAAACCAAGATCGTAAGAATAACCCTGTAAGTAAACAAGTAAACTAGACTTAGACAAAGAAAGTGTCCAGTAAAATTCTAAAACTTTTGTACCTCCAAAGTTTCTTGGCAAGCACCTGGCCTCCCACTGTGTCGGGTCATCGTCAAAACCCAGACTCGGTCAACAATGTACTTTTAATACTCTTTACCTTTCCTCCTTGTGAAACACTTTGTGAGCTCAGTTCTCAAAAGATTCCACGTAAATAAGCGTCCTTACTTACCTCTTCTCTCCGTTAGTCTCTCTGTTCCTAAACAACTCTGCCCCCGCTAGTCCACACGCCCTTGTCAGAAATTCTACCACCCTTCAAACAAACACATTTGAGCGCAGATCAAACACTGGTTCTCAAGCCATATCTCCTCCGTGGTTTCAGGGTTATTTGCGAGGGTGCCAGTCAGCCCCGGTAGAAGTCAGATTCTGTAGACTGCCAAGCAATGCTGGCAATGAAAATATGTTGCTGAGAGCAGACATGGGCCGTCTGGTATGACGATTACGCAGATGGAATAAATCTGATCTGTCAAAAAGTCTAAGTAGCTGTGGTAATATTCTCTCAGTGATCCCAGTGAGCAAAGTGTTGGTCCTAATAATTAGGCAGGAGTCAGACAGATCGCTCAACACACCCACAAGCATGTGTTTTAGACATCATTTCAAAATCAGCTACTGCTACCAGTCGGGAGGTGTAGCAGTGAAGGAGGCTGCCACGGTTCCTATCACCAGGACACAGATACCACATATAGGTTCCTTTTTGCTCTGCTTTGCTTCAGTCCCCAGATACTATTGGATTACTGCAGCAGATTGGAGACATAATGGAGAATCGATGGCAGAGCAGCAGTGCAGAGTGCTGAGGACTGGACTGCTGGGGTTTCATGACCCCCACAATCCCCAACTGAGATGTTAGATAAGCACAGAGATCTGGATTTGGATGGATACAATCAAGAAGATGCATGGGGAGTCAGCTTAGCTCGGCCTGAAGGGGATCGGCTTCATCAACTTAACTGCTCTCATCCTTGACTCAGGGAACATGTTCACTTTTACTGTGGCTTTGACTTCCTTTTTCTCTCTCTCTCTCTCTCAAATCTCTTTGCAGTACACAATAAATACTCAATATTCCTACTTATATAAAGTGCAGTAATAGATGAAGCAAAATACACTGTAAATAAATAAATCAACAGTGAAAATCTGGTGCCAAAAAAAAACTAAAAATGTAAAAAAATTATTATTTAAAAATGTGTGAAAATTTTAAAATTCTAAAATTTTAGCTGATTTAAATGCAGTAAAACTTTACAATTATCTGGACAGTTTTTTTTTTTCACAGTTAACACGTGAATTAATACTTTTTGTTGATTTTAGTAGATAATATCTGTAATTTCACAAAACAGGAAAAATCTCTAAAATAACAACAAAAAATATTTCAAATTTTTCAAATCCTAATATACATATTTTTTCTTTGAAATGTATCAAATACTTGTAAAATATCAACATTTTTTTAAGCAAATTTCAATAAAAATAACAAAAATTTTATGGCAACATTGTTGTAAAAGAAGAAATTATTGTTTGTAAAAATACAGATAATTGATGTGGACATTATGTACCGCTTTGGTGGGTTTTGTTTACACTTAGCATGTAAATAATCCTTTTTTTAACTTTGATTTTACTGGATATTACCTGTAATTTCACAAAATGGGGACAATCTGTAAAATAAGTAGACAATTGTTCCAAAAATTACAAGTAAAAGCTGTTGAAAATGTTTGTTTTTTTTTACAGTCTATGTATGTATATGTCGTGTCTGGCTGTCGTCATTATCATATTCTGATAAGCTGAGTCAACACTCGCTTGGTGTTGTGTCTGAACAGATATTTGGCTTCATGTAAAATAACTGCTTCTGCAAAATGTGTTCTGTTGTGGATCGTGTGTTTAGGAAATAAGCATTGCAGCAAAAATAATGTCCTATAAATGACAATAAAAAAACAAAAGACATGCAGTCCTCTACCACATATATCCCCGAGATATTTTAAGAATGACTCTGTTTTCCCACAGTCACAGAGTGAGACGGGCCGAGGAGGAGAAAATGACGACAAAACATACAAGTTTTCTGGCCACACAGATACATCTCAGACACACACACTCTCCTGCACTCGGTAAAGTGGTTAACCACAGGAAGGTATTATTTTGAGTTGTTTTTTTGGTGTGTTCTGCTCTATATTTCACGTCATCCTCTGGAGGTGTGTTTGCTGTCATCGTCCCTCTGTGGGACAAACAGCTTCAGAGCGCCGCCTGCACATCAGCCACAATGCAGCACTGCAGAACCTGCAAAGAAGCATGATTGTGTGCGTGGAGGTTACATGCCTAAATGAGATTAAACATCTGAAGCCACGCCAGCAGCCCACGAGGGGGTGGTTGGTGTGATCACCAAGAAGAAGACAACTGTTTTAATTTGGTCAAAGGGGAGCACCAAATGAAAAGACTCAGTTATCAGAAGGGTTTGGTCTAATGCTTGGTGTGTAACATCTAGTATGTATGTTACTGACGTTAACATGTGCACAATTAGAACATGCGGTGCACTGATTAGTATTGAACTGCTGTCACAAAAGCTCATAGGAACCATTAAACATTAGATTTAATGACAAGCGCTCTGGCTTTCTAGTAGAGCCGCCTGAAGAAATCCCTGAGATGTATCCTCTGGAAACTCTGAAGAGTGTTTCACTGATAAAGCGGCCGAACAAGCTGGCGT